AGGAATGCCAGGACTGTCCCTAAAAGCCTTTTTCTTATCAAGGGTAGTGGCATGATCTGTCTAGATAGACCTGATTGCACAACTGCCTAATGCCAGCAACAGACCGTCATGTGGCTCGACTCAATGGACCCAACTCTGTCCCAAAGCAGGGCTGTGCGGGCATAGCCAAGGACAGCATAGGAGTTAAATACCAGGGCTGCTGTCAGCTATATATACAGCCTCGCACTTTGTCCTGACTTACTAATACAGTCATGCTCCCCAGAGCCTCCTGTGTTATCTTCCAAAGGAAGGAGGTTGTAGCACTCATTCATTTCTTTTGGATGATGATATATATAAAAGGCTTTTGAGAAATCAAGAAACAATTTTGGCCAATTAAATAGTCCAGATTTGCACGATGACAGATCCCAGATGTGATTAAAAAAGACCACTGGTGACATGTCTCTCTTTTTTTTTTATTTTATTGAGCATTTGTTTGATCATGGCTGTGGAAAGCAGCAATGCTATCGCTGCAAGATCTTAGAGTGGGAGACTCGCCTGGGAAACGATGACAGGACGTGGGCCACAGATGCTACCCCATAAAGTAAACTAGCACACGTGCTTCTGTCTGGCTGAAGGGTCCATGTGTCTGTTTTTATAGTTGGTATGCTACAGAGGCAGATGCAATGTAGCCAAGGGGACTTACTTTGACGCAGCCATCGACTCACCAATAATTTTTAATAGAGCAAACTTACCACGAGCAGGGTTCGACTTCTGTATTTCAGGGGGACTGGTTAGGAAATAGAGCTGCCCTTACGTCAAACCCAAGGATAGGCGGGTACATTGCAGGGTTGGGGAAGGCACTTTCCTGTTACCACGTTACACAACGTGGCAATGTCAAGATGTTTTCTATAGAGGCTAATAAGCTCTGTGCTACACAATGACTCCTTCTCATCCCATGCTGCCAGTCTTCCCTCTTCTTACTCACAAACAAGTCCTCATGTCAGGCACACTTTATTTTAAAGGTCCACACATAAACATTTTATAAAAGGGATCAAGATTAGTAAGGTGAGGCCATGTATTTTATTAGATCAACTGATATGGCTGGAAAAAGAAGCTTCAGGCACACAGTCCCTTCATCCAGGCTCAATAAGAAGCAATAAACTATAAGCTAAATACAGGTTAGAAACAACTGCTCTTACTTTAACCTAATTATGTTAATTAGACAACTTAAGAGGAAAGGGTTAAAGAGGGTTTATAAGCAACTAGTCACTGGTTTTGGGTTGCCTCCTTCTCTTACAAGAACTTTAAAGAAAGCTATATATTTTATTATGATAACTGCTTTTCTATGAAAACTTTTCAAAAAAAATACTGTGTAGCATTATTACTGCTGTGTAATAGGAAATGTTAAAAAGAAGGTAAGCATAATGTTTATTGCCTAGTAAACTATTTCATTCCACAACGCACATTCACCATAAACCCAGAAACAGAGCTCAACCTTCTGAAAAATAAAAATCAGGACAAACACAACTACATGGCTGTGTGAACCAGAGGTACAAGCAATTAAATATCCTGCTTTCTATTTGGTTTAACATTTGTTCCTGAGTAAGGGAAGTACTATTGTTTTGAAAAATATTGTAATATTAGCGGATCTTCAAGGTCCTGGGCTTTATAAATCTATTTAACTTTTAAATGAGAAAAATCTGCAAATGAAAGACAGCAATGTATTTAACACTTAGCTGTCTTTCAGCATTTTCTCTAAGTTGCATAGTTTTCACATATTAAGTCTAGTGCTAGTTCTACAAATCCTAGAGAAAAATAAATCCTGAACAGAGACTGAATATTTAAGGCCAAAAAAAGATTGAATGGTTTTACTGGGTCTTTGAGAAAACATCATATGAACTGCATGAATCAGTAATCAGCTTATGAAGAATGGAAATGTCAAACCCTAAAGGGCAGCATTTGGAGTCAGTATTTCCCCTTCCCCAAGGAATCGTCTGCTTATCCTGAGCAACATACACAACTCTATACACATACCTCTATTTGCACATCTCTGCTAATTTATGAGAGCGGTGCAGGCAGCGTCCAGGCAGAGCAGAGGTGCCCCAGGATGGGCGCTGCGCCAGCGCCCGACGGCAGCCCTTGCCCCACAGAATTTATGACCTCGGTAAATTGGACATTAGTTTTGCAGATGGAGAACTAAGTACATGCGACTGAGTGACTTCCCGAAATTGGCTGAGGAAGCTTGTGAGGGACTGAGCTCGATGGCTCTCAAGTAAAGACTTTAGGGCTTCAGACAGGGCAGCACGTGCTCCCAGAAGCAGACCCCCTAGCAAAACTTCTTGCCTCCCTCCAGAGGGATCTGTATTTGACGCAGAACAGCTCTTGTTTGGTAAAAGCCCAAATTACAAGGTCCCTGAGCAGCAGTACAACCACGAAGCCTGGCTGTCTGCGTTACAGGGACACCGGAAGGCTGGGCTGCTGATGGACCCGTTCTGAGCGCGCGCAGGAGCTGTGCTGGTGCCGCCAGCACATGCCCCGCACGCTGGCAGCAATGCTGAACGGGCAAAGGAAAACCTCTTGCTGTCTCTCATTCTTTCCTGCTCTTGCAGCTTTTACAACCAGTTTATGGCTGATACCAGGCAGTATGAATTACAATAAATGGCTACAGTCTTGCCCTTTTTGGCACAGCAAAAGAGCTTCTCTTCTCAATGCAGAGACTTGTCACAGTCAAGAAAATTATCCAAAGCCCAAAAAAGACATGAATTCAAGGTGAATTCATTAAAATCCACAAATCCCCTGTGCGGACAGTCTTACTCAGAATTACAGTGGAGTTACTTTGGTTAATGTAAGTTCATTTTTGAAGTGAATTAAACTAAACCAAATTAAGAACATTTTAATTAGTGCTGAGCTCTGCAGAGGGAAATGGACTACTTATTTCCTTTCATAGAATGTATTTTTCTTTTAAACTTAAAGGAAGATTGGACCAGCTGCAGTGAGCTCTCTAGCTAGAACTGACACCAATACTAACCCCTGTACTATTAATATTTGTCAGTAAAAACACTGGGCTTCACAAGATCTTTTTTAATTGTGTAGAGAGAAAGTTTTCTTACATGCCTTTGAGAGAAATACCCACTCATTCTGGATAAACTAGAATGAAGCAGCATGCAGATAACTAAGCACACTACACAGCACAAATTGCATTTTCTATCTATGAAGAATCAAGTCAGAATTGTAAAGATGGAAAAATTCATTTTGATTGCATTATAATTCAGCTTTTGTATAGAATTCAGAAATATTCAGATGTACTTCAGTCTCAGATTTTATTTCCATTCTTCTCCTGGACAAAATCAAGTGACAACATCTGGCTCAGGCTGTGTGTGTATTATTATTTTTTTCTCTCTAAGTAAAATGTATTGTTCACAGGGGGATCAGAGATTCAGATTTTTGCTCAATCGTTTTTGGGCAGCTCCCCTTTTTAGCAAAGAGAGTTGGCTAGCTCTCCTTACAAGTCATCATTACAGGAAGCTAAGCAAAAACAGGGGAGAAAGTTAGACTTTGCTTGAAATCTCTGGAACAAAAGTGCCTAATCTAGCAACTTATTACCAAGGTAGAGATCCTGTGCAGTCACTCATATTCCATGCAAACACAGGCAGCAGGTGAGCCACGTGCATGCCTCAAGCTGCAGAGGTGGAGCGGGCATTCATAGCAAGTCATGGAAAAATGTGGGCTTTGCTGAGCATTTCCAGAGAAAGCTCACCAGGAATCAATTCAACTGCTGAAAAACTCCCACTGAGTGTTTAGAAGGAAAGCAAAGATCATTAAACCTGTTTTCATTGTGTGTCAAGCTACACAAGTGCATTACAGCGTTCCTTTAAAATATGCTTCAGCATGCGGTGCCATATCTAACGTGCTCACAGTTAGAAAATGCAGAGTTAGCTGCCTTTCGTTCACCAGTATCTCAGTTGGCTGGCTGGCACGTCTTGATAAAGAAACAACACAGAGACAGATAACATCCCAAACCTCAGCAGCGAATTAAATACCAGTAAGGGTAAAGTCCTGTGTCCCTCGATCAGGCCGCACACACACTGTATGGGGAGCCTCCACGGGCGGCTGCCCAGGAGCCCCGCTGGCTCACACGACTGGTGATGGCACACACAACTTTCCTGTCGGCGTCGGTGGTTCAAAGCCAGCTCAGACCAAAAGCGTTACAGTAATTACCCTCTCATGGCTGGCGTACAGTGATAAATTAGTCGATGGCAGCAGCAGACAATTCCTAATGAGTGACTTTTCATACCAGAAAATCACTGCCGTTGCCAGTGATTGTTAGCTTTGTTGAGACTTAGCAGAAAAGCCACAAGGAGGACGGGGCATTGCAGCTGCCTGCTCTATCTTCTCTGTGCATGAATACGGAAGCTTGGAGAACAATGCGGCACCCTTCAAATGCTCGCCCTGCTAAAATGAAAACCCACTGGAAGCCGCTGCAACTGCTAAACGCTTTGCGAGGGCGGTGGCTTTGAACGGGAGATGTGCCCTGGAGAGCATGGAGAAACAAGGCCCCTCTACTTGCACAGCAGCTGCCTGCATGGGAATGACTACCCAGATCGTAGCTGCCTCCCAACTCAGCCAGCCTTCCTGCGTGCACACTGCTGCCTGAGCCTGCAATGCGGTACCTCGAGCATGCGTGCTCGTGAAGACCATTGGCCGTTCCCTTCGAAAACAGGGAGAGCTTTACATTCACAAGTTTTGCGTTGTTCTGCCAATAGTCCAGTAAGAGCAATTATTGCTGTTTTTCTCTACTGCCTCCCTGACTTAAACAGCATCAGGCTCTTCTGCCCTGGGAGGAAGCTCTGGACTGTGCTGCTGTCAAGGAAGCTAACTCTGGAATATGGATCTCAGTCTCTTATTTCATAACATACATGTTTCACACATTAGACAAAACACCTACCTGGCAAGTCACTGGACAGTGCTGACAGAAGGTACTTCACTCAGTGGAAAAATATGGGTCTATTGTTAATCAGGTATTGCAAGTATAAAACCGTATTTTAAAAAAATTTAAAAAAATCCCAGCTTGTGTGTAGGGTCAAATGGTCCAAGGTGCTGCTACAGGAACAGCCCTACGTACAATACATTACGACTTACAAAAGATTTCTTCTCAAGTACATAGTAAAGGCAAACAAACAAGAACACCAATTTCAGAAAACCATCCAGTTAAGAATTACTCACCCCACCAAATCCTCTAAAGCGCTGCAGGACGTCATTGTTGATGAAACAGGACTGCGCGGGATCACGGAGGGCTTGGTCCAAGAGATGGTCGATAAAGTAGATGCCCGGCTCGATGGTCAGCACCATGCCCTGCTCCAGGCTGCGGGTGGTGCGCAGGCTCCTGAGCCCTGGTAGGTCAATGCGCTCCACTCCCTGCGGAAGAAACACCGGTTCTGACAGACAGAAAGGCAATCCGTGCTGACCCTTTGTCAAGACCATCCTACACTGACTGCTCCATAAAAGACTCAAAAACGCAAAAAATAATCGGGAAGTAGAGGACTGAAACAGTGCTGTACAGTTACCTCTCAGTCCCTCATTTAGCTTTCGTGTACAGCGATGACCAGCTTTGAACTCAACACCCAAACTGGTTTTTGCACCACCAGAAATCCTGGCTTTGGATATGCTTGGTCCTGTCGCTCTCTACCATGGGAGAAGTACTGCACTACAGAGAAAAATAATTACTTGCACTATTTCTTTCTATGCCCTCCCTTGCAAAGTACAGCATTTTAAGCAACGTGCAAATCTTGAAATGCCTCCTCCACGTCATGGCTGAAATAGCTGAACTATGCAGCAGAGAACAACTTCTCCAAGGATATGCAAATGCTTATTCTCACTGAATGTTATTAAAATTACACATTCATGATCTTGATTCAGGAGCAATGAGTCTACACATGACCTCATAAAAGCAGCCCATTTAAAACTAAACTTTTGTCAGATTCAGACTTTCAGGCAACATGGTGCTGACTGATATTATTAAAAACTAAGTCAAAACAAGTCCTGACTAGCAAAACATTCTCTTCTTCCCAAAAGCTGGTAAAGTAAAATGATATATGAGGACCTGCTTAGTCAAGGAATTAGAAACACTGCAAAGACTAGTTCAGGATATTAATTTTCTTCCCCCAAATGTGCCAGGTATTGCAACATCGGAATAAATATATCTCAATCCCATTAGCTTTTTGAAAATTCTTTGCAACTGTAGCAAAATTTCATCAACAAAATATCATGATGACCAGTAAACAGCTCACAGGCCCACTAGCTTGCAAACACGCACACACACTTTGCTCATGAAAACCCTCCCGCTTCAGCCAGTAAGTCAGAGGTTAACAGGTCTGCAAGACCAAGGCGTTATTTATCTGATCTCCAGGTAGCATTCCCAGATCTTGCTTCTGGCCAAAGTCATGGCAATTTTCCTTGCTGTGAAGAAGGGGAGACTCCTTTCAGGATCACTAGCAGCATGAGTGGTATCACGAGGACGAAGCATCCCCTTTCTCCAGGACAAAGCGCACTGCCCAGCGCTACCCTCGGTGCCTGGCACGGCTGTGCTCCTGTATTTTCTGCCACACCAATGCAGCGGGGCAGAGGGAGGCAGGAGCATACCCTGCAGATTAGCCACGCTTTTGTCTCATTGAATCATTTGCTCTTTGAAGTGTATACAGCCCCACAGTACTGTTTGCTCCTGAGCTCCACTTCCAGTTCAGGGAAAGCCTATTTCACAGAAATCCTGCTTGCAACAGCCACTCAGCAGTGTCTGTTTTATTCTCAACGGTCACCTAAGCACTACTGGGGATGCTTTTTTTTCCTTTGCGGAGCTTCTGTTCCAATGCACGGCATCTTACAGCAGCCAAGATTTTCAGAGCTCACCAGCCTTGACATCTGAGGGTAAGTTTGCCCATTTTTCAGAGACACGGAGTATTTGCTTGCCCTCACAAGCCAGCAAGTGTATCCTGACCATTTTCACTGTGTATTTGATACATTTTATTTAATATGTTTGATCTGAATTTCGCAGAGCATTATATTACACTGAAGTAAGAAAGCACGATTTTGTTTTACTGAGGCTAGGAAAGAAGAATACTCTGATATTAAGCAAGGCACTTTGCATTTATATCCTTATCAAAACTCAAAGAGAATCAGTATTTTTCTAAACTTGAAACAATAACTGCACTGAAATGGAGCCATTTTTCTTTCTGCTGCTGCCCCATGGGGTTTGGCATCTCACACATTCATTGTAATGCGTAAAGGAAATGAGGGCATCCAATCTTGTGGATTAATCTCTCCATGAGCTGTAAACAATTAGATTAGTGTCTGAACCTTTTGGTGCCTTGCCAACTATCTATCGGCTGCTTTACAACAAACAACCCATATTTGGCTTTTAAGTACACTTCTCTTCCATTCTACTTGTAAATGCTTTTTGTGAGGCAGTCAATCCAAGACAGATGCTAGAAAGATGAATGTGCAGTGAGGAAAACAATGGCAAACATCCTCTGAAGGCAGCCCTGGCACGGCATCCACATTTTTTGGCCTTTTCTTAAAACAAATGACGTTTAACGCCAGGTGTGATGATCAAGCCTCGATGCCCACTTCATTTACCTCTGTCCAGCTGTTAAAGCAATGCGTTAAGTATTTTGTCTGGACTCCCTGCAGTCTGATTCTGCTTTTAGTACTTCCTCCAAGAAGCTAACAGAATGTTTACAACTCAGGAGCAAGACTTGGGGATTCACGTTTGGAAACCTTCTTGAGCAGCGCAGGCTCCCTAGGCCGTCAGCAATGCAGGGAGAGCCCCCGAGGCACCTGAACACTACTGCTCACCCAAAAGTAAAATTTTAACTTCTCTGGAAGGAATTCACAAACTCTTTTTGATATTCCCCCCATCCTATCTCAACTCTAGGTTGTGTCGGCTCTTGGTTTCGTCTCCAGGTCTTTGGATGTTGCAGGCACTGAAGTCACTGTGTAAATGGCAGCAGCTACATCTCTTCCATGAAAGCATCTCGTAATGGGCTGCCTTTGGAGAAAGGGTAACACTGCTCAGCTTTTCAAAGACAGCAAGCAGGACACCAGTGGGTGGGCTTGCGGCAAGGAAGACCTACAGTCTCTTTTAACAGAGGCTAGCAATTTGTTCACTGAGAGATGCATGAAATGGAGGAAGAGGGAGACAGCTTCTGGATATCGCATGTACCTGGCCACGCATACCCTGAGTGGAGGAGAGCCCCAGTCCAACTTGCTTTCAGGCTGAAGGACAACATGAGCTGGGAGAGGAAATGAGCAGAGCGGGGAAGGTGGAAGGTGACCAAGCTGGGAGATGATGAAATTCCTTCTTTTGAGAACGGCGCTGGATTAAAACATCCATCAGACTACGGTTTCAGCATCCCAAGTGACATCTGATCTCTGGGCACTCGTGACCATCCCAGTAGCCACCACAGCCATCAGGTCCAGGGGCTGACAGTTCTCAGCTCAGTCTGCTTCGGTTGTTTATGAAAACTGGGACAAACAGGATTTTTTTAATGCCTGAAACACCACCACCCCTAAACAGAAGATAACAGGTCTGAAACAAGGACACTGCTGTTTTCCATCAAGTCAAACCCTGTTGGGAGCAAAGCCTGACGGGGAACCCTTGCACTGTCATCCGTCAGTATGAATCTTCTGCCATTAATGCATCTTCTTATTTATGAGGAGAAAACTTCCCTACATTTTGCAGCTAAACAACGAAAGCCTTGTTTTCAACAATAACCATGATGATGCTTTGTAGTCAGATGAAGTGAAGAGTAAAAATGTGAACGTTGGTGCAGCAGCTGTGTGGATACCTGTTTCTATTACTGTTATGTCCTGGAGGCCTGGCCACGGAGCAGGACCCTGTCGCGCTCAGTGCTGTACAACTGTAAAGCATAAGCTGGTAATTTGCCTCAAAAAAGTGTAGAGAATAATCTAGAAAATATTAACACGTAGGCATCTAAAAAGAGACTCATGGTGATATTCTGGGAAAATTACTTTTCGAAGAACTGTTTATTTTCCTGTATATTGCAACAACAGACTATATCCAAAATTGTTTTCTAAGACTGATTTTATTTGGAGGTTCTGCTAACATTTTAAAATTGAGACACTCCCCCCACAGTAAGCACAGATGTATGACACTGTCATTTGTGACTGTACTCCTGCCAAGAACATCAGATTCCAATTAATGGTTCATGTAAGGTAACAAAAAACAGCATGTCTAGGCAATAAGGACTGTCAAGGGAACTAGAGAATTATTATGTAAACTGATTTCATTACTATGTAAGCAAAATAAAAGTTCAAATTAAGTTAAGTGTGCAGTAATATAAAATATAGATCTATTTTTGGAATAAGTAGGGAATTAGGAAGTATGCAAATATGCCTATCCCCCAGAAAAGTGGCTATGGAAGTCTGGAAGTTGCAATACCTCAGTATAAGGATGCTCCTAAGCAACTCAATGGTTAATGGGGGTATATGTTGCTTTTTCCATAGAAGAACCGTAATGTGTATCATGCTGGATCTTGTCCCACAGACACTGGCTACGACACAAAGCGATCAGAAGCAGAAATAGTTCCCAGCCCACTCAGAAGAGCCTCATCTTGGGTCTGTCTTCGGATCAGGACAGAAGAAAACCACAAGTGATGTCTCTGTGCTGGCTGGTCATCACCCACAGGCCCATGACACCAGCTAGGGATGCAGAAGTGCAGAGATGCAAGGACAACCTCCCTGCTGAAACCAAGGGCTGCAGCGCTTAGTTGGCATCACCCAAAAGTTTCCTGAAGCCAGCAATGGCAGCAAAACACGGCCACAGCAGAGATCACCAAGGCTACTCATAACTGCAAATACTGAACCACAGTAAAAGACTCATGTAGTGACACAAACTAGTTTCTGGTACTTTTTTCCAGCTAAATCATCACAGAACTTTTTTGAGCCTGACAAATAGATTGTCCCAGTTGGACCACATCCAATACAATGAAGTCCTAATGATTTACCAAGCTAAGTGCAACCAAGCATTTAAATTAGTCAGAATACTAACATTATATTTAGATTATACAAAATCAACACCAAAGTGAAATCTCAGCTCTTTCACTCTTCCCTATTCTCCCACTGCATATACCCAACTTCTAATTAGCTCATTTATTGTAAAAAGAACGGAGCCCTGTGCACCCAGTAAAATAAAAGTCTTGAATTCCATTTCACTTGTCTCCTGGTCCCTTCTCTCCAAGCCCTTGTTTCTCTTGCTGAGTGTTACTAATGAAGATCAGTTTATTCCATCTACCCTGCTTTTTCCCAGCAGCCTGAGCTGCCTATAGTCACCTGAAGGAACTGCTGTCAGTCCTGACTTTGAAATCAGCAGCAGGTTACAGGAGAACATGCCCCAAGCATCA